TTTTGGTCAAGGCTTATATAATTGCATAAGGAGTGATCATGTGTAAGTATGAAACAACACACCTCAACAGTCTCAGGGCAATTATTAGCAGAGTTGGGATAGGAGAAGCAAGCCTATCAAATATCTCCTTGCCTCCAGTTTTGTCTTAGGGGTCTCATTTTATTTTCTTAAGAAAATATAGTCCCTACCCATTAGCAAGAAGGTTTCCAGATAGATACAGACTTTTCTTTAACACCCGAGGTAATTTCTCAGATCTTCCCCTTATACGTAGCATCAACAAATCACATGAATACCAAATTCTGTACGTTTTCCATGTCAGAGAGAAGAATCGTGAAAAAGGAATGTTTTAAGACAAACAGTGTGAAAGTGTGAGCTATTATTGAGTGATCCTATTTAAGTAAAGGAATGCAAATAGATTTGTATCTGTTAAATGAGGACAATCCTTGAAAACAAAGAAATGGTAACCTGAGAATTTACTCCAAACCTCTGCTTCTTAGTTAAGCATCCAAGAATAGCCCCTCAATTCTGATTCAATCCCTATTTCACCAACACTCTGCCTCCTCCTCCTGCAGAATTCCCACATTGTAGGATTTCTCTACTAACGTGAAAATCAAACCTGGGATGAAGGAGGTATGAGGCTTCCTCTCTAATCATTAGGCATCTTACACTACCCCGCAGATAGCCCTTGTCTTGGTCTTATGAGCCAATGCACAACACTACATTTGAGAAGAGGGCACAGATGACCAGTGTTCAAGGAATCCCTTGACTCCAGTGGAAAGGAGTTGTAGATTTCTAGATCGGACTATGGCTTATCACCAGTTATGTGTTGCCTCTTCTGAGGCACTTACATAGCATTGGCTCATACCAGTAACCCCAGGACCAGACCATTTGCCCCATGGCTGAAGGAAAGCAGCCAGGAGCAGTCTTTGAGATTTGAAGTATACAAGTGAATCCTGTCCAGAGTGATGTCCTGGATTCTAATGAAAGAGGATTTCCAAAGCTTTAAATCCCAGGACTATAGGATATGCAGTTCTGGTGAGCTCTTGGGAGACACCATTAGGTTCTTCTGTTGATGATTAGGTAGGTCCATTCACCAAGGAGCTGTGCTCTAAAGTTGGCCCATATGGGAAGGCTCCTCAGGTTCACACAGAGTCACAGGAATTGGCTGGAGCTGTCTGAGTACCAAATTGAGAGTGTTTATCTAAATGAGGGCAGAAGTGCTGATGTCCAGCTGGCAGAAGATCAAGAGGCTTCCTTGAGCAATCGAGGCTTCTTTCCATGCTCTTCATTCTTCCACTGAACAAACAGGTTGATGCTGGAGCGGCAAGTAATCCCTAAATCCCTCACAGACACAGCATATAATAATGACTGAGAGATGTACATGGTGCCCTGAGAGCATGGGGCAGGGGCAATGAGCCCCATCTGTGTTAGTCAAAGGCAAGAGGTAGAGACTGAGTTGAGTCTTAAAGAATGAGTAAGAGTTAGCCAGTGTGGACATGGAGTGTCCCAAGCAGCTGGAATATGTATAAAGGCTGAGAGCCTAGAATGGAAAAGGTTTACTGGAAAAGGTTTATTTTTGAGAGGACCCCCTCCTCACCCAGATTCCTTTTTCCATCTACCCATCACCTCACTCTCAACTCTGCAGGGCTCTATGCTGCCACCAGAGGAAATTTCTTGTTCTTCCCCAAACAATTGTTTAAATATGTATTTCTGTATTAACTAGAAGAGTTAAATGTTCAAATGCTGATTTACTATCCTTTAGGGGATTGTGTGCTCTGATCCTTTGTTTATTTTTCTATTGTTTGCCTTTTTAAAATTAAAAAAATTTTTTTTAACATTTATTCATTTTTGAGAGACAGAAAGAGACAAGGTACGAGTGGGGGAGGGGCAGAGATACAGGGAGACACAGAATCTGAAGCAGGCTCCAGGCTCTGAGCTGTCAGCACAGAGCCCAATGTAGGGCTCAAACACACAAACCATGAGATCATGACCTGAGCTGAAGTTGGACCCTTAACCAACTGAGCCACCCAGGTACCCCTACTGTTTGCCTTTTTAATATTTACTTGTACCAATTATTTACATATCCTGGACACAAAATTTTGCATTTTTTATTTGTTGCAGACATCTTTTTTCATTCTTTTCTTGTCTTTGAACCTGTTTATAGTATCATTTTGTCATTCAGAATTGTAGATGGTTCAGGTAGTCAAAATTATCATTTTCATAAAAAATAATTCCTATTTTCTGTACCTTGCTGAAGAAACTCTTCACTAACCTAAGGACATAAAAGTCTCCTTCTATAATTCACTCAGTGGTTTAAAGTTTTGTTTTTCCCATTAGGTTTTAATACACCTAGGGTTACATTTGGTATGAGACACTGATCTAACCGTTTTTTTTTCCAGTTAGAAATCCACAGTCATAACATCGTGTATTAAAGGGTTAGTTCTCTGTCCTCAGTTTGAATCCCCTTTTTCACTATATAGCAAGACCTCCTGTAGATTGAGGTTTGGGCTCTCTGTTCTACTCCATTGGCTCCACAGTTATTTTACGTGTCATGCATATGGGGTCATTATATTGGATAGGGCAAGCTTTCTAGCTTTATTATTCTTTTTTGCAATTCTTTGATTATTTTTAGACTTTTAATCTTCATTTCATTTTTAAAGTCAGTTTTTGAGTTTTACAAAACATCTTTTCAGAATATTTCCTAGAATTGAAGTTATATACTAAGTTGGGGAAAATGAGATGGCCTTATGATACGAGTCTTTCACTGTATGACCATAATATATCATGCTCCTTTCTTCAGGTCAGATAAACATATTATTTTTGGATGTGGAGCAGACAAATAAATTCTCCTTATAGAGATGGAATACACTCAATAAGAATGAGAATTCTTGGGTTATTCTTGGGCACAAAATCTATTGTACAGAATCATCTTAAATATCTGTAGAATAGGGGTGCCTTAGGTAGCTCAGTCGGTTGAGCATCCACCTGTTGATTTCAGCTCAGGTCATGATCTCACAGTCATGGAATGGAGCCCCGCAATGAGCTCTGCATTGTGGAGCTGCTTGAAATTCTCTCTCTCTCTCTCTCTCTCTCTGCGCCTCCCTGTGTGCGTTCTCTATCTTAAAAAAATAAAAATAAGAACATTAAAAAATCTATAGAATAGCCTGAAACAAAGGAAAGAATAGCAACAAATATCTCTTTAGAAGTTAAAATTAAAGCAAATGAGTGAATAAAAACTAAAAGTAATCTGAAACCAGTGGAAACTGTACAAAATGTCAGGGTAGAAGGAACAAACTCTTAATCTCAACAATTAATACAGTGACAGTCAGAAATGCAGCGCTCAGCTGAAACATATCCCAGGTGAAAGGAAAGTGGCATCGTAGCTACAGAAAGAATGAGTTAGAACATAAAAACCTGCAATGACGTCACTGCAACAGACTGGGTATGGGCATTGTGGAAAATACAAGCTGAGTTGAAATGGTAATAAATGGTATTCATAAAACAGAAGTCAATCTTGAGAAATAAAGAAGCTCCCTTCCAAATCTAAAATTCTGTAATTCCATATGTCCTAGAGAATGTTTCCCTCTTTTTTAGGAGGAAGATTCCTTTTTAATATAATGAAAGGCTGTATACTTTCTCTTGGTTTTTTTTTTTATTAGTATGAATAGTTACATTAAATGTTCTTAAATGTTCAACCATTCTTACATTCCTGAAATAAACTCTCTTGGTTAATTAATTATTATTCTTTTGAGTTCCTGCTGGATCTGTCTTGCTAACATTTTATTTAGAGATTTTGCATCTGTTATTTACAAATGAAATTTGTCTCTTTGAAGAGGGGGATTTGTCTGTCTTCGTGTGTTCGGGCATCTAGTTTGTGCTAATCTCTTTTAAATAAACTGGAATTGTTTTTCTTCCCTAATCGATGAATAATTTAAATAGCACAAAAACAATGGTTTCCTAAAGATTTGAAACCTACCTGTGAATCTGGGTAGGCCCAGGGATTATTTTAGTGCATTAGTATGTGCGGTGGGGGTAGAAGGGGTGGGAGGGGGAGGGAATAGGGAGGGAAGGGAGGTTCTTTAACACAATTTTCAAGAACGCTCACATTGAGGTACATGTGCTCCTATGCATCAGCATTTCTACCCCAATGTTCATAGCAGCACTCTCCACAATAGCTAAAACATGGAAAGAGCCTAAGTGTCCATCAACAGATGAATGGATCAAGAAGATGTGGTTTATCTATACCATGGAATACTACATGGCAATGAGAAACAATGAAATCTGGCCATGTGTAGCAACATGGATGGACCTTGAGGGTGTTATGCTGAGCGAAATAAGTCAGGCAGAGAAGGACAAATATCATATGTTTGCACGTATAGGAGGATTAGGAGGAACTTGACGGAGGAACAAGGGGAAGAAGAAGGGCGGAAATGGTGGGGGAAAGGGAGAGAGGCAAACCATGAGAGACTCTTGAATGCTGACAAAAACTGAGGAGGGTGGGGGGGGGGGGGGGAGGATGGGCATGGAGGAGGGCACTTGTGGGGATGAGCACTGGGTGTTATGTGGAAACTAATTTGACAATAAACTATTTGTAAAAAAAATAAAATAAAATAAAATAAACAAACAAACAAAAAAAAAGAACGCTCCCATTGAGTCTAAACATCTTTTCCTTTTAAAAAATTTTTTTTACTGTTTATTTATTATTGAGAGACAGAGCATGGGAGGGGCAGAGAGAAGGGGAGACACAGAATCTGAAGCAGGCTCCAGCTCTGAGCTGTCAGCACAGAGTCCGATGTAGGACTCGAACTCACAAACCATGAGATCATGAACTGAGCCGAGTCTAAACACCTTTCAAATGATTTCCAAAGTTATAGAAGCTTCTGATAATGAGCCCAGTTAATGTATAGGTTGAATGTAAAATTATAGAACATAAAGAGAAATGATACAAGGTAAAGATGAATGAACACCTGATTAAGTACCATCTGCTTTTGTTTTCCTAGGTCAGGAAGTGTGCTGCACCACTGGAATGAAATCTATTACTTTGTGGAACAGTTGGCTCATAAATTCATCAGGTGAGAAATACAATGTATAGTGCACTGCCATGAGTAAAACTAGCCTAATTACTAACTACTTTGGGCATGTTTTTTGACAAAAGTAGACTCTCAGATCTTCAACCAGAGACTTGACTTGTATTAGAATAACTTTTGGCTTTATGTTTGCAGAAGGACCCTGATTTGGTTGTAAGACCAAAATTTTACTGCTGTCTCTCTCATGGAACAATATATTCTTCCAGAAGGATCATTAACATTTTCTTTCACAGTGCATCACACTGGGCCATTTGGCTTATTCTAGCTGGACTCAGGTGTAAAAGGTGTAGGGTGAAAGGTGACCAATTCATTCCATTGTGCCCAGAACTTTCCCTGTTACAGCGCTGAAAATGGCACATTCTGTGAGCTCTCCTCAGTCCCAAGGAAACCACCATGTTGGTCAGCCTGGCTGTGTGTCCCAACAGGTAGAATTCTCCGAGCATTCTTTACCCCACTTTCCAAGGGAGGACAATGCAGTTTTGAACTGCACTATAAATGTTGCAGAGCCTCAGAGGTCCTACTTTCCAGTAAGTATAGATTCCCCCTGGTAAAGGAAAGGAGGTCATTTTACCCTCCTTGAATACAGCCTCTGAGGGATGACACAGCTGTGACAGCTTTCATGGATGTGCTTGAAGCCACTTGTCAAGGTCTTTGGTAAAATTGTTCTGATCATCGTGAACTCTAAAGCAGCCCCACTCCTGTGTCATGACATTGGTAGAGTTTTCCAGCCCATGTGAATAACTGTAAACTTCTTTAAATAAAATTCTTTATCTCTGAAGACAAATTGTCCCCTGAGACCAATATAATGACAAATGCATTCCCTCCGAATTCAGTTACTGATCTCTTACCTGCCTACCTGATTGGAGGGGAAGGGTTAGGATGTGTCCTCTCTGTGATGCCAAAATTTAGAAGCTGCAGTAGGCAGCATCTAAACCCAGATGCTTAGGAAAAGCAGATGCCAAGAGGAGAGAGAGGAAGGGGAAAGAAGCAAATACATGAGTGATATTAAAAGCAAAGTATTTGAAAGAATTGTAGAGGCTTACAACTGAAAACGACTTCCCAAACTATCCTAAGAGGCACTTGCTACCCTTAACTTGAATAGCTCTGGTGAGAAACTGCTACCTTTGGAGGCAGACAGCCCAATAGTTAGACAGTTCCAGTTTCCAGAAAAGCCTTTTTGTTGTTGAGGCAACATGTCCTTTCCGATACTCCCGTCCATTATGTCCATTACATCCTTTGGAGTGATATAAAACAAATCTGCCCCTAGACACTTGACAGTACCTACTCTGTTTCTATTTGCCCTTCTGGTCTTCTGTTCTTTCTGAAGCAGAGGAGTCTACTGGAATGGGCTTTGAAGTTAGGCAGATGTGGACTTGAATCCAAGCTCCATTGTGCAACCATAGCAATTGACTCACCGTGGTTGAACCCTGGTTTGCATGTGAAAATTAGGAGAAAACATGTGCAAACCAACTAGCCCAGTACCTGGCTTAGAGTGGCCACTCAGCACTTCTTGTTTCGCTGTTCCTTCAACAATTCCAGATGCCTCAAAGTCTTAGAATCAAAGACACTGAGAGGTAGGGGTTGGGGAAACTAAGAGACCACTTAACCCAATCCTTTCATTTTATTGATAAGGAAACTGAGAACCAGAGAAGTTGACATGGCTTAATCCAGACCACAAGACACTTTCCTCTGGTTGTCTCCTCTGGCCTTTCTGGATATGGACCCCCCTCAGGGTACAGCACCAAGACATCACTGTCATGCAGATTCCAAGATTCAGGGACTGTATTTTGACTGCTGCAGCCCAAGTGCCTATAATAGTCCCTGACACATAGTACATGCTCAATCAATATTTTTAAATAAATGGGTGGATTCTGAAAAAGAATGAATGAGTTTTGTTTATTCACTCTTCTCTGTTTCCTTCAAGACCCCAACCCATGCCTCTCACCCATCACTCTCAGCAAAGAACTTCACCTCCTGTTTCACCAAGAACCCTGGGAATAGCAGAAAAGTGATTACCTCAAGTTCCAGTCCTACTCTTAAAAGATGCAGGGGGACCACCTGGGTCGCTCAGTCGGTTAAGTGTCAGACTTTGGCTCAGGTCATGATCTCGCGGTTCGGGGGTTCGAGCCCCCCGTTGGGCTCAGTGCTGACAGCTAGCTCAGAGCCTGGAGCCTGTTTCGGATTCTGTGTCTCCCTCTCTCTCTGACCCTCCCCTGCTCATGCTGTCTCTCTCTCTCTCTCTCTCAAAATAAATTAAAAAAAAAAACATTTTGAAAAAGATGCAGGGGTGTCCTTCCCCTTATCTCTGAGGTTCAAGTATTCCCCCTTTGATGGTGACCCCTCCATTTTATCCCATTGTCTCCAATCTTCCCCAGGTCTTTGTTTTTCTCTTGTATTTTTCTCTGCCATTTCTACATCAATAGACATAAACAAATCTCTCCTGCCCATATTTGGAAAAAATTTTTTAAAAAACAGAAAATAACAAATCTCCATATATTCCTCTATAGATCCTATAAATACCTATTTCTTTGCTGGTTTCTTATTCAAATATCTTTGAAGACTCAATATCTCCATATTCTTACTTCGTATTCATTCTTTAACCCACTGCCATCTGGCGTTCATCCCCACCCTCCCCACCTGCTTGCTCTCGTCAAAGTCCTTAAGTAATGCCTTAAGAGGACAAAGACAGTGAGTGTCTTGCAGTGCTCCTTCTGCGGGATACAGGAGCTCGTTTGATTAAGTTCCCTCCCCTTGAAATTCTCTCCTCCACCTTCTGGTTCTCCTTTCATCTCACTGACTAGACCCAGGCCTTTAAATGTTGGTGTTGGTTCTAGATTTGGCTCACTTCCTTTCTCGCTGCTGACACTGTCTTGGAACAATTCCACTGCTGTCAGTATGCCCCAGACTCCCAAATCATGGCTCTAGCCAAGGCTCATATATCAAACATACCAGTTGCCTCTTGGAGCCCTACATTACCCACATTTCAAATTCATTTTTTCTAGAGCTGAACTCTATACATAAGAGGCAGTATAATAAGGTGTTTAAGGGCCCGAGTTCTAGAACTAGGAGCTTGGTGTTAAGTCTCAGACCCACTACTTTCCCACTGTGTGACCTTGGGAAAATTACTTTGTCCTCAGAGTCTCAGTTTCCTTTTGTGGAAAATAGGAATAATAATAGTACTGATCTCATAAAGTTGTTACTGGTTTAATGAGATAATACGTTCACACCACTTACAATAGTGCCTGGCATATAGTAAGCACTTGACAAAGTGGGCCGTTATTACATTACTATGATAATGATGGTGTTTTGCTGATTAGCCGCAGTGAGGTGGTAATAGGCAGAATTGTGTCATGGACACAGAACCCAGGTCTCTTTCAAGATACCAGCATTCAATTCACCACATACTCTTTGGGCTCCTACCAAGTATTAAACGCCGTGATAAGGGGTCCAAAGATACATCAGACATATGGTATTGAATGTAGGCTTTATCCTAGAGGCAGTAGGAGCTGTTGGAGATTTTTACAGCAGATGGGTGACAGGTCTGATTTATATTTTAGGAAAATAGCTCAGGAAGCAGTGTGTAGCATGAACTGGAACAAAGCATGGTGACGACAAGGTCACCAGCCAGAAAATTGTAGTGGTCACATAATTTGAGGGCAAGGTCCTAAGCTAAGAAGTGGAAAGGTGGCAGGTTTAGGAAACATTGGAGGAGGTGGGAACTATAAGATCTGGGGCCAGATCAGGGATGGGGGCCACCGCATGGTGAAGGAACAGGTTGATGTTGTGACAGATGAACCAACTGGCCCTCGCCAGAGAGAGCCCATGACAGACAGCACTCTACTGGTAAATCCACTACAGTCTGATAGTCCACCTTTTCTTTTCTTTTTTAAATGTTTATTTTTGAGAGAGAGAGAAAGAGAAGGCATAAGCAGGGGAGGAGTGAAGAGAGAAGGGGACAGAGTATCTGAAGTGGGCTCTACACTTAGAGCAGTGAGCCCGATGCAGGGCTTGAACTCACAAACCATGAGATCATGACCTGAGCCAAAGTGGGACACTTAACTGATCAAGCCATCCAGGCGCCCCATCTTTTCTTTTCTTTCTTTTTTTTTAAATGTCTGTTTTGCTTTTGTTATTTCTGGACAGTCCATCTTTTTTTTTTTTTTTTTAATTTTTTTTTTAATGTTTTATTTATTTCTAGGAGAGAGAGAGAGACAGCGTGAGCAGGGGAGGGTCAGAGAGAGAGGGAGTCACAGACTGAAACAGGCTCCAGGCTCTGAGCTGGCAGTCAGCACAGAGCCCGACGCGGGGCTCGAACCCATGAACCGCGAGATCCTGACCTAAGCGAAAGTCGGATGCTTAACCGACTAAGCCACCCAGGCGCCCCTCTGGACAGTCCATCTTGCAGACAGAGAAGCACATTTGGTCCTCAGCTGAGAGTTGTTCTCTCTCCAAGAGTGGATTTTTTGCTCAAGACAGAGCTTCTGAGCACTGCCATATACAAGCCTTGCTACCGTGTTCATTAATAATGAGAAGTATAAAACTACCAAGCGGAATAGATATTCTTGTGGCCCACCAGCGCCTTCTCTCCTCATAGGATACCTCCTTGGGAAACCGAGCAGAAATTAAAAGTTGATGGTGATTCTGCTTGCAGAGCAAAGAGAGTTTTGTGGTAGGATCTTAGTGGCTGATGGCACCAAGCTGTGACAGCTTCGGCCACTCCCCTCGTTAAAGGATACACCTGACTGCTGTGGAGACGCTATCAAGTTTTACCTATCGGGGACCCCTTTGTATAAACGTCATGCAGACCAGCCATCTTCCAGGGCCACACTTCTTCAGACAGAGCACGGGGCAGTGATGAATGTTAGCTGTTCTACCTGTCGTCTGCCCTCACTGAGTGGTGGTGTCAGGTCAGAAACAGCCTCCAGGAAGACAATGCAGATCTTCCCCCTGGTCCACAGCTTCGAGTCCGCTGCTGGCTGAATACTTGCGACACCAGCCGCAGTCTCTCTTAGGGTTGTAGGTCCTCAGCCCTGGCGGCTGTGAGAGAAAAGGAAAAACAGGGAAGACCACTGGAAGGAAATGGCATTCTGTAGTCTTTCTATTTGCCCTAATAGAATTTCTTTTTCTTTCCAGCCCACAGCTAAGAATGTCCTTTATTGTCTTCTCCACTCGAGGAACAACCTTAATGAAGCTAACAGAAGACAGGTAAGGATGCTTCCCTTCCCTGTCACTAAAAAGCCCACCGTTTCCTGGGTAGTTCTGGTATTTGTGCCCTAGTGCCGGCTTTGACTGGCAGCCATTTTAAATTTAGAATTTTTTAATGTTTATTTATTTTTGAGAGAGAGAAAGAGACAGAGTACAAGCAGGGGAGGGCCAGAGAGAGAGGGAGACACAATCTGAAGCAGGCTTCAGGCTCCGAGCTGTCAGCATAGAGCCCGACAGGAGGCTCAAACTCAAGAACTGAGAGATCATGATCTTAGCCGAAGTCAGACGCTTAACTGACTGAGCCACCCAAGTACCCCATCAGTCATTTTAATCGTATAGTTCTCTCTTTCCACTGAAGTCTTGAACATTGTACATTGACCCATCTGCTAGTTTACTCTGTGACGACTGATAGAATTTCCTGATGTTGGTGAAATTCCATAAATGACTAAATCACATTAAGGTAAGTCTTACGTTTGATTGGCAACTCAGTTTGCTAACTTCAAGCAGAATGTTAGCAGGCCAAATCCTTGGGGGGGTTATAGTTTCATTTATTTAAATTAGATTTGGTTTTGGATTAAGATTTCGGAGATATAATAAGCATACTATGAGAGAAGTAAGAACTTGAGATATTATTAAACATAATTACCAAGGCAGGGAATAGAAAGGGAGGGTTTATGGTACCACGATATAAAAGGAAATTTGAATCAGGTGTGGCAAAATGTTGTTGGCGTAGAAGGATTACGTAGACATAGCTCAACAAAGATGTTATCTGGGGTTTTACCACTTACCCGTGAAAACTCGAAGAAATAGAGACAGGCCATTTGTTTGTAGTTAGGAAGGTATGTTGGGAGTGGAGATAACAGTTTTCTTGAGTTAGTAACACCTTTGTCCACTTTTTTAAAAAGTGCAGTAGTGACATGAGAGAATTCTACACCATGGGGTGGGTCAGGGAGACACATGTGGGACTATCGGCAGACTTGCATATGGATGTGTAAGGAGAGGGAAAGGAGGAAAGGCAAGCACAGAGGACAGGGAGACTTTATAACGTTCTTCTTCAAGAAATCAGAATAGGTCTAACAAGATAGAGTAAGGTTTTCTGGATTTTGCGCTAACACAGCAAGTCTGAGTTAGTCCTCGTTTCTCTCCACATTTTGATTCCTGTGTGTACCTAAAAGAATACTCTGTACCATATAGAAGTTTTCAAGTCCTGTTTCTCGTATCTATTATTCATGCATGCCATTTGAAGCCCCATTTTAAAAACAGGGGTTTCTTATTTCCTATTAACGGAAGAAGAAACTGAGGCCATATTGTATTCCTAAGGATACCTAACAGAACTCACATTAGATGTGGGCCCCACATTCTTTGCAGTCTCTCTTGCTGCCTTCTGTTAAACAGAGAATCCTAGAGCCCAAGAAATGTGTGAGATTTTCCGTCACTATTGGCCAAGGATTTTAAGAAGCTTAGAGAAAGTGTCTGTAGCCCATGAAAGACTCCTACTCTCTCTCAGTCTTTACATGATGACATCCTTTATGCAGAGATGCCTTTTATTCAGAGAAGACTCCCTTCTCACCCATTCTCCACATCCTCCTACAACCCAGGCTGCCCGGTACTGCTTCGTGCTGACTCCATTCACTCCATGCTTGAGTTTGGCCCAAAGACCTAGATCTCACATCTCTTGTGGGTATTTTGTGTGCTATTGCTCACAGCCTCTGGGAAATGGGGAGGGCAGCCGAGGAAGTCACAGATTTATAAATGTTGTTAAAACACTTAGTTATGCTAGGTTTGGTTATGCTTGTTCAAATTAGTCATCTGAGTCCAATGTTTTTCATTTGAATCTGATGTTTTATGCCTTAACTTCATCACTCCTAGTTTCCTGTACCAAGGAGAACACAGAGGTTAGGATCTCCACTTTGCTAGAAGCAGCACTTAATATTTAAGGGCTGAATATGCCTCAAACAGCCAAAAAACGCCTTGCTAAAAAGGCTGTTTGGGTTTCATGTGGTGACTGCTTGGCCTAACCAATGGGTCAGCTGGCAAAGCTTGAATGGATTACTGACATATCCCCAACCTTATCAGTCTAGGGAAAAATGTGGATAAGCCTTTCTCTCCAAAATACGTTTTCATGAGTTTTGCTAAAAGAATTGGGCTTTCAGAGCTTCCAAGATGGTACTTTTTCTGACAGATGTGACTTCTAGCGTTTTAATTGGTCACAGGAATGTTTATGTTTTTCTCTATATCTCATCTGAGCTTCACAATATCCCTAGAAGACAGTAATAAGTGCTTTATTTTACCGATGTACTGACTGAGGAACCACGTAAGTTAAAAAAACTTGCTCAAAAACAGGACATGAATTCAGAGAGACTCTCCTTTCCACAAGAGCAAAAGATTGTGGGTAAACCAAAACAAATAATATCAAAGATGTATTTGCATCCAGTTCTTGGGATCAAATCCATATAAAGCAAACCACAGGAAGGCTGAAGAAATACAATAGAAAATAAATATGGCATGTTGAGAGGTAGTAAAGGAATTACAATTCAAAGAACAGTACCTACCATTTGTGTCTTTTATCTGCTGAGCACTTTACATATCATTTCTTAGTTAACCTCATATAACCGTTCAATTTCTAATGGGGTCTCATTATTTTATAGGGAATATACTATTTATCATTAGTTGCTTTCAGGATTTTTTCTTTAGCTCTCAGCAGGTTGATTATGATCTGTCTAGGCATGGTTCTTTGAGTTTTTCCTATTTTGGATTTGCTGAGCTTCTTGAATCTATAATTTGTCTTTCATCAAATTTGAGAAATTTGCAACCCTATTTTTCAACAATTTTGTCCAATTGTCCCAATTTTCAAACACTTTCTCCTCTCCTTCTGGGACAACAGTGACACAGATGTTAGATCTTTTGATATGATTCCATATGTGCCTGAAGGTCAGTTCAGTTCTTTTCCAGTCTTTCTTCTTGCTGTTTTTCAGATTAGATCATTCCTGTTGGTCTGGCTTCATGTTCACAGACTCCTTCCTCTGTCATCTTCATCCTGCTGCTGAGCTCATCCATTGAATTATTTATCATAGACATTGTGATTTTCAGTCCCAAAGTACCTATTTTATTCCTTTTAAAAATTTTATTCCTCTGCTGAGATCATCTATCTTTTCCATTTATTCCAAACATAATTACCTTTACCTCATGGGAGCATAATTATAAGATAAATATATAAATACTTAAATATATAATATATAATAAGATATAACATATAAATATATCATATAATTAGATATACAATGAGATTACATATGAGATATATATTTATGAGATTAACTATATGTAATATAATTATAATACAAAATAATAAAAAATAATTTATAAAAACTATAAAATAAACATATAAACCTTATATGCTTTAAATTCTTTCTCTGACAATTCCATAAGCTCAGGATTGCCATCTTAATTGTTTCTTTCATGAGAACTGGCCACATTTTCTAGGTGCTTTGTATGTCGAGTAATTTTAGATTATATGCTAGAAATTTTTAAAATTAGGTTGTTCAGACTCAAGTCATTTTCAAATTCTCTGGAGACTATTAATCTTTTTTCTTGGTTTGCACAAGTTTCAGACTACACGTTCTATCTCTTCTTCCGTGGGTGGTGGTTTTTATTTCAGTTCAGTTTTCAAAGCCTTTGCTAAGCAACTTGAAGTCTGTCCTACACATGTGCAGCTCAGAGATAAGCCCAGGACTTATACAGCTTCATACACAGAACTATCGGGACCCCCTTCTTCAGCTCTCTCTTCTGCATGATTCCCCACACACTATGTTCCCTACTGAGGCTGCCCTTTCCAAGTCCTCTAGCAAGAAAAGTGGGGTATATCTTGGAGTTTGGCTACCACGTTGCCTCGTGTAGTTCTCTACTGAGGTCACCCATGGGGCAAAGTTAGAAGTAATCAAAGAGAAATGAAAGTGGGGATTCTTTCCACATTCTTTGAATCACAGGAACCCCCCTTCTGAGCGGGCGGACATATGGTGACCTCTCAGGCCACTACCATCTGACTGAGACCCACCTTCAGGTTAAAGCCATGAAAGAAAAGAGGCGGGGAAATGTGGAATTCATTCTTGTCTGGGTTATTTGTCCAGGTTTTAACTACTCTTCCCAATCCATCTGCTTTGTTTACTTTTCAGAGTCCTTATTGATTTGCTTTCTTATTTTGTTCAGAGGTTTTGGTAATAATCACCAGGAGAGATGAGATAGCAAGTAGGAAGTTTACTCCATCTTGCCTGCTATTACTTTAATTTTATAAGGGACACTGAAAATCTGATTTTAGGTAACTTGCTATGGTCAAATAACAAAAGTGGCAGAATTAGCTTCATGATTCTGGATTCTGGAATCATTCCGACTCATGTGTTTTGCATTATATCATGTTGCTCTTCCAAGATTTCATAGCTTCATCAGTTTGCAAAATGATTGATAAACTGCAACACATTTTTCAGGTTTCTTCCACAGCATAATAAAAGATCTAATATTAATTTAAGTACCATTGGAATACAATGTTTTAGTGTTTACTACTGCATATGATTCCCTACTTACTCCCTGGATAGTCTTTTTCCTGATCTTGATTTAAATATTTCAGATGTTTCATCATTTGGAATGAGATCATGTCAAGGAAGTCCAACTCTTCCTTTAAAAGAAATCAGGAATAGATATTCAACTTAATAAAGTGCATTTTTGGCATCTATTAAGATGACCATATTTTTTCTTTGACCTACTAACACAGTGAAATGCATTTAAAAGATTTTTTAATATTGGATCAGTCTTGCATTTCTTGTAACACTTGGTTGTCATATATTATTATCTTAATGTAGAATTGAACTTTGGTTTTGCATTTTATTTAGAAATTTAACATCAGTGTTCATAATTGTGATTGGGCTGCTATTGTCCTTTTATAACTACTTTTACTTACAGTCTTTTTTATACTTTTTTTTTTTTTACATGTAGATCACTACTTCTAG